ATATATATATATATATATATATATATATATATATATTTATATATGTGGTCCCTTCTGGTCTTGTTTCCTTCTATTATTTACTCCAAAGTCCTTGTCCTTTATCAAGTGTTCTTCAATTGCTAATTAATAATCACCCCCCCTTTTTCCCCTCTCGTCATTGACTCTTTGGTAGAAAAAATTAGTTAGAAAAGAAAGGAATGGAATGAAACGGAATGAAAAATTTCTGATGGATGGCTTGTTTGATAGGCATTAGAATAAAAAATAGGTTGATGAGAAAAATTTTATGTTTGGTTAGATAAAAATGGGTTAGAAAATTATGCAATTTTACCGTATTACTCTCAATAAAGAATATAATATTATTAAATAAAAAATGTTTTTCGACCTAAATATAATATTATTAAAAATTTTAATAATTAAAAAATGAATGAATAAAAATATATTATAATTTAAATAAATATGAATATTCAATATAAATGTAAAAATTATATATATTAAATAAAAATAAATAATTGAATAATTGAATACTAAAATATAATATATAATATAATAGAGAAATTTGAATAAGGAATGAAAATACATCTACAAATGAAAAAAGAATGAAGTATGATCGAGCAATTTGTAAATCTGAATAGACATGAATAAAGTCAATTAAAATGTGAATTTTTAGTGAACATACATTTTTTAATTTAAATTTAAGTAGATGAAATGATCTATCATTTGAAAGCTCTCTAAGTTTAATTTCTAATGTAACAGGATCCATTAAAAAACTTTTTGTATTTTGAAATTTATTTCTAAGACAGTGAGCAAATGTCACAAACATTTTCCAAAAATAGAGTAACATTGCATAATTAAATTATTTAGATAGATATTATTGAAAAGCTGATTGAGCCTATATGTATATCAAATAATTTTTCCCTTTAAAAGTATTTATAGTTTGTGAGATATTATATTAACATTAATCAAAGTGCTAATTTAAAATTTATTGCATCTAATTTGAATTTGCTCAAGAAAATTCGAACTTGATGTAGCAAATTCAATTTTTCTTACATCAAATTTGAATTTGCTTATTTTCTTGTCACAGTTTAAAGCCTAAAAATGAGTTTATTAATGTAAATTGGAATTTTTATCAAGAAATTTCAATTTATGCACGATACATTCCAACTTTCACACAAAATTTAAATTTACTCAAACTTTGTTATACTCTGATTTTGATACGTTGAATAGAGTAACTTTTAATTAGTTATAAGTTATAACCTTCCGAATTTAAATTCAAATTAGGTAAATGACCTATTATTGAAAAGCTATCTGAGTTTAATTTTTAATGTAATAAGACCCATTTAAAAACACTTTGTAATTTTAAAGTTTTGAAGTTATGATCAAAATAGTGAGCAAGGGTCAGAAACGTTTTTCTCACCAAATTTTAAAAATCATACTACCTTCGGTCCTTAATATAAGACCTTGTTTGACTTTAATTTTGGTCCTAATTATAAGACTCCAATCCACTTTGTCTCTCATATTTATGCATTTTTTTCCAAGATAGTCCCTCTAATAATTGTAGTCCTAGCCAATATAGTTAATTAGTAAAGATATTTTAGGAAAGACAATACTTATTTATTACAAATAACTAACTTAACTTCTTTCTTTAATCTCCTCAAATTAATCAACTGGGTCTTATAATTAGGACAGGAGGTAGTATCTTTTTCATATGAAAGCATTTTTATTGAGGTAGATGGATATGAAGATGAAAAAAGAAAAGTGGATGGAACGAAAGAAGGATGATGAGAGAGGAAGGACCAGTAGAATTAAACGAGGGAGAGCAAGGACGCATGCTCTGAGGGTTAGATACGTCTCTTGCATTGGTCCACCTGTGCTGGAACATGACTTCCCACGAAAAAGATTCGAACTGATTTATGCAGATGAAAATTGCCGATCGTTGGAAAATGGGTTCCTAGAAAATTGTCCAACCAAATGCACCAAGCCTATGGAAAATCTTGATTTTCCTTGTCCAGAGCCAAACTTTTATCGTGCCAAATGCACTCTAAAATCCGCTTTCTCACTAATCCTCGAAGACATTTTCAACATATTTTGCCAAGACTAATAAAATCTTTAAATATCATGAATTTTGTTTTAAAATTTAGTACTCTCCTATTCTATTTATAAGACAGATAAATAAGATTTTTTTAGTCCTATTTATAAATTACTGTGTTAAATTTTTAGCATTAATATTTTATTTTTTTAATAGTGTACTTAGTTATTTTTTGAAAAGTATATATATTTAATAAGAGTAAAGTTAAAAAGTTATAATGTTTTAAAAAAAAGTTAACGCAGTTTAATATTTTTTTATTTGTGTAAAATATGTTAAAAATATCTTATAAATAGAACCGAGAAGAATAATTTTTAAGTTTATTCCTATTTAATTATACACTTCCAAGAAAATATATACGGAATTATTATCATGGCAGATGGCTAGGACGTGTCGGTGGGCCCTAGCATGCCAAACAATGCCTCCTAGGAAAAATAAATCGGTGGTATTTTTGTTAAAAAAGTTAAAATTTAAATAACTCATCTGCAGGGATTTAAGTTGACTACCGACATGGAAAGTTTTATTGCATCGGTTGAAATGGAAATGAAGTAGAAAATTATTTTTTCAATATAAATGAGAACTTGTAAATTCTTATATAGATATTTATTATTTTGTTATGCATGGTTAGTTATCAAAATACATATATATACTTGTAAATTTGCTTACAAATATTTGTAATTTTTTTGTACAAGAAGCTGTTATAAAACTAAGAGTTGTAAATTTTTCATATGAATACTTGTTATTTTATGATGATTAAATTTTAAAATGGGTATATGCATTTGTAATTAAAATTTCAGAATCTGTTGGTATTTGTTTAAAATTAAGGAGCATTATTGATATTTAAATGAAATTCTCCCTAATAAATTTTGCAATGACGACATTTAATTTAATATAAAGAGGAAAAAACAAATTTTTAGGTATATCTAGATTACAATATTTTCAATTTTCAATATTTCCGATACGCATTTTTCAGACTTGGACACAATACTTTGGGTTAAGTAAATATAACTCCTTATTAGTGGAGAGAAGTTAATTTTAGAGGTTAAAAAGTCTTCCTTAAACAAATTGATTAGTAGTTTGATTTTCAATCATTGTGAATTGAATAAGTCTAGTTAGAAGGTATTTCCCTCTTGCCCTCTTTATGTTGAGAGGGACTAGTCTCCCCTGCGTGTGGAGAACGCAATAGTTCACCCAAAAAAAAAAAAAGCTTCATCTGAACCATAATATAAGTCGTTTCTAGAAAAATAACTTAATCTAAAATGTAAATTATTTAAAAAGTAATTAATACTTATTTATTATGAGTTTTTCATACAATTAATGTTTAAATATAGTTTTCTCTTTTTTTTTTGTAACCTCATTTAATATGAGGGAAGTTGAAAAAAAATTTTCAATTTGAAGCAAATTTAATGAGTTAACTACCATTTTTTGGACCAAAAAAAAAATGAGTTAACTACCCTTTTGATTCTAACCCATTAGTTAAAATAATTTATATCATAACCGGAAGAAGTAGTAAATTGCATAAGTTCGAAAGTTAATTTTATTGTCAACATAAATTTTCTTGGAAAAGAAAACTCCAACCGAAGTAAGAATTGAAAAAATTTTCAATTCATTATAAAAAATCTAAAGATTAAAAACGATTCTAAATCTGAGGTTCAAACATAACACGGAAAAATCTGTTCGCCTCTCTTGCAAAACATAAAAATAAAAAAACCATTAATATATTTGCGGAGGTGCTAGGATAATGTGATGTGCAGTGTTGTTTAAATATGCGATTATTCCCCCTGGCGAAATAAACAAATGCATAGATGTTGAACATTTGTCAAGTTAAAAAAAAATAATGAAAAATGAAGAATTATAGACAACAAACAATTGCAAAAGATGTCAATTTGACAAAAATTAAGTGAGATTTACTTTGGATGGAGAGAAAATTAGAAAGAAGAGAAAACTAAAAAGAAAAACAGTAGGAGAAATGAGTTTTTCTCTGCTTGGATTAGAGGGAAAATGTGGGATGAAAGAAAAATAAAGAAGAAAATAATGTGGACCCTATGCTTTTTTTTTCTTCCAAATTTTCTCTCTATATATGAAGAGATTTGAGAAGAAAATGAGATTTTCGTGACTACCCCCTCTTGCACCTTCTTGAGTTCTTCCTCCCCATATTTATTTTTTATTATATTTAAAAATTATTCACTTTTTTATTTTTTTATCTTAAATAATATTTTATTAAATAATTTTGTTTTAAAATATAATAATATTTTTTATGGAGTTAAAATATAATAATATGAACAAATATATAAACCAAATAATTTGTATTTAATGATGCTAATGTTAGTATAATTTTTCTGTTGTAATATTTAATTTAATTTAATGTTAATTATCATATATCTTAATAAGGATATTTTAGTCATTTATATATATTTATTTTTCTCTCTCTATTTTCTCTCATTTATCCAAGCAAAAGGAATAATAACATTTTCTCTCTAGTTTTTTCTTATCTCTATTTTCTCTCATCTCATTTTTTTTCCTCCCAACTTTTCTATTCAAGCATAGCACTAAGGTGTTTCAAGCCTCTTAAAATAATCATTTTTATACTTTACAAGATAAAAATCATTTCATATATTTAGTTTATACAAAAATATTTTTTGAACTAATTTATTAAAGCTAATTCAAACAAGAAAGCCAGATAATACTTCAGGAAGCCAAGGAATTGCATTGTGAATAGTTTTAGAAGGCTTCTTTTAAAAAAAAATCATAAAAAAAAAAATCAAAACCGCATTAATTTACGTAGAATTTAATAATCTATGCAGAGAAGAAAAAGCATTTGCAAGGAAAAGTCATATTGCCAGGCAGACGCGTTAAGGTACGAGCTGTATTATTTAAAAAAGAAACTGACACTGACATTGACATTTTGTGCTTACAGTGACGCCTCAGCTTAAAACTGGGGCTCGCTGCGGCTCTACGTACAGAAACACTTTGGTGAAGAAAATAAGTTTGTTAGCTATGGCAGACATGCTTGTGTTGGTGAAGAATGCTTTGAGTATTTCGAATGAAGTTCAAGGGTACATAAACAGTCGTGAAAGGCTCATGTCAGCCACCAAGCGCCTGGGTGCGGTGATTCAACAGACGGAACAAGGAATGAGAGGGATGGATCACAGAGACATGGATCGTCTAACTCAATTAGTGAAGAATCTTAAAGGCTTGAACGAAGCAAACCAAGAGGTGCTCGATAAGAACGAAGTCCTTTGGTGGAATTTCTGCCTTCTATCATGTTTTCGGAGCAAACATGAAGATACGTTTCTGTCGTTTCTGTCGTCCATCATGCTCGATGTGGTGCAAGTGATGGGAGGCTGTTTGATAGAACTCGAATCCAGGTTGACTAATGATGGAAGCCTAACCATGGCAGTTCCAGCCCAAGAGACTGATAGTAACATCAGACCCATATTCCAGACCAAGGCAGTTCCAGCCCAAGAGACCGATAGTATCATCAGACCCATGTTCACCAAAGTTACGGTGAAATTGGGGAGTCAAAGTCATACTATGGACAAGTTGAAGATTATGCTGCTTGATGACCGTGGGTCGCAGACGCTGAACTTGTATGGTTTGCCCGGATCCGGTAAGACCACCTTGGCTGAAAATCTCTGCCAAGACAAGGAAGTCAGAGGTAATGTCCCCCATTCCTTAGCTGCCATATTTCTGAGTTCGTTCCAGTGCTGAGAATTCTGATATACATTGTAAATTAGCTTCCACTATGGCATTGATCATCATGTCATTTTTATCCATCAGTTCACTTTTCTTCCTTGTGCTTGTGTATAGGGTGTTTGAATTAGCTTACTTTAACTAATTTTGCATTGTACGAGTATGATCATTCTATTAATCACAAAATGTCAGTAGCAAAGGTCAGGTATTGCTCTGATATGATCCATTCTCACCTCCTTGTACCAAGGTGGATGCTGATATTGGTAGATTCATGTAAATCCAGCAGGATCATCGGTACTAGTATTCTTTTGTCAGTGTAAATGAAAAATAAAAACCTCCCAATAATCTGTGTACAGGATATTAGCAGCATTTTAGTAGCTTTAAAGGGTGAGAACAGTGTTAGTCCCTAGTAATCAGATTGATTTCTTCCACAGTTTAGTTTTACTTGCTTCAAGCCCTTCTTCTCCCAACAAAGTTTTAGGCCTTCCATAATTCCCAAAACTTCAGCAATGGCTGGAGGGTACACGACATTTTTTTGCGGAATAATTTTAAAACCCTGAAAATGGTGCTTGATAAAAATTAATATTATGTGAAAAGGTAATCATGTTATGTTGAGGAACTTCTTGGAACGTCAGCAATATATATACATATGATGAATTCTTAATATGATTGAGGTTTGAAAATGTTTATCTCTAATGAGAACAGAGTAAGGACATTTTTATATCAAACAAATTTAAGGAAACACAAAACACATTCACTAGTGAGAGGTGCTGGTGAGGAAGTAGATCAAACAATTTAGAATCCTTTAAAAAAGGACAAAAAAAGACTTAAGAGAACGCTCAATGAAGTCATTGAACAAGATTTTTTGGTTAATAGCCTATCTAAAAATTTGGTTATTGATGGAATATAATGGCATTGTGCAATCTATATGGCCGACTCTAGCTAGTGGGATAAGACTTATATGCTCACGGCTCCAATAGGAAACATTTGTATCTTAAAGTTAATAGAAATCAATTCCTTTTTTCTTTTTGGCTTTTTGTTTCAATAGATTACTTCAAAGATAGCATCATCTTTGAGACTCTGGGATCACAGATTCAAAGCAATGAAGCGTCCATCAGATTGTCCAAAATTCCGGATTCAAAACTATTGGTACTGGATGATGTTTTGCCTGCCTGCGAAAATATCATTGGGGAGTTGACAAATAAAAGACCGGGTTCTAAAATTTTGGTGACTTCAAGATATCAAATTACAAAACTTGGCACCCGGTGCCACATGGAATTACTTTCTCTCGAAGATGCAGAAGCCCTTTTCCTTCACTTTGTTCGACCAACTGAAATCGATCTTGATGACCAGAGAATACGTCTAATGCTCCTACAGGTACATATATCATGATTCCTTAATTTGTCTGGATGAGTCTTGAGAATCGGAGATGTGATAAATATGGTGAGTCAAAATTCATAACTCCATAATTTTCTTACATGGTTCTTAATTATCTTCTCTAGTGCTTTAGAAAAGGATAAAATTAAGTCAAGTTGCTTATATCTATTAGGTTAAATTTTCCTATGACACTTATTATTTTGCTATTGTTAGCTGTTAAAATGTGTATATGCACTCGTAAATTCACTTTATGAACTTAATGAATATAAACAACTTGATCTAATTTTTGTCCTTTAGAAATGGTTCAAGTGAAAACAGAAAAGCAAAATGAGAATACCATAAGCAGGGGATGTTTTGACACACAAGAGGAAGAAAAAGTCGTAACCTTAATTGGAGCCACTTGTTGTACATCGTTCATGAAAATGCAGATTGTTAAAGGTTGCAAGGGCTTACCATTCGCCATTGAATTTCTTGGTCGCAATCTCCGAGGGAAAACTACTGAAGAGTTTCAATTGGTGCAACCAAAATTGTTGCAAGGCTCTATTCTAGATTCACATGAAGTGTTGCTTGCTCAACTCCAAAATTGCTTGCATCAATTGGTAGATGAAACCCACAGGGAGTGCTTTATGGACCTTGGGTTATTTCCTGAAGATGAAAAAATCCCCATGACTTCATTAATAGACATGTGGATTGAACTGTACAACTTGGATGAACGTGGCATATGTGCTATGGCTGTCATCCGCAAATTAACAACCCTGAGTTTAGTTGCCGGGATCAATGTGCGAAGGTAAATACATGCATTGCATTCTTACCATTTTGTCATGAGTCTTACATTGCACACCCACGTTTGATGACTAGATGTTAGGATGTGGTTCTCTTAAGAACATGTACTCCTTACACATCTATGGTGCTAATTAATTAATTTGACTTGGGATATAAATTTGAATTTGATTTCTATTATATTGGTAGTCCACGATTCAAGTATATATTGGCTTTTGAACCTTGTTTAAACAGGACTGTTCAAAGCCATCTAGACAATTACTACAATCACCACTTTCTCAAGCAGCATGATCTTCTTAGAGAGCTAGCCATCCGTATAAACAATGAGGAACCATTTGAGATTAGGAGAAGACTGATCATTGACATGTTTGGAAATCAGCGTCCTGAGTCATGGCCCCATCAACAGCAGCAACAAGGGATCGATGGCCACTCATTAAGTTGTTTTACCAGATGGTTTGGAGACCCGAGCCAGCTCAGAGGAAAGGCTAAGATACTGTCAATGTCAACTGGTTTGTTTATCTCTTACACTGTTATGAAGGAATTCAACAAAAAAGCTCCTAATGCAGTTCTATACCATTAACCTTCTTTCACATTTAATGCAGATCAAAACACTGCTTCAGAATGGTGCGACATTCAAGCAGATGATGCTGTGGTTCTGATTTTAAATCTTAAAACTACAAGACACACGTTGCCTAAATTCATCGAGAAAATGAGAAACCTTAAAGTTCTTATCATCACCAATTATGGTCTGGGTTTCACTGAATTGGAAAACCCAGGACTACTTGACTCCCTACGGCAGCTGAGAAGAATCAGATTGCAGCGGGTTTCACTTCCTTACCCATGCAAAATGAAGAACCTGCACAAGTTATCTCTTTACATGTGTGAGGTGCAGAAGGCTTTTGAAAATAACTCCATCGAATTCTCAGAAGCAATGCCGAATCTGGCGGAGTTGAACATTGATTACTGCAAAGATTTGGTGAAGTTGCCTGTCGGACTTTGCAATACAACCACCCTGAAGAAACTCAGCATCAGTAGTTGCCACAAGTTTATCGAAATTCCCCAAGAAATTGGGAACCTTGAGAACTTGGAATTACTTAGAATTAGTCACTGTGTTGAGTTTAAGGAGATGCCAGAGTCGATCACAAATTTGAAGAGTCTAACCTTTCTTGACATTTCACATTGCACCAGACTTGGGCAATTACCGGACAATATCGGAGAGCTAAGGATCCTGAAAAGCCTGTACATGACGCGTTGTCCAGTAGAAAAATTGCCGGATTCGATCGTCCATATGGAACATTTAGAGTGTGTGATATGCGATGAAGATACTTATCCTCAGTGGGAAAGTATCAAATCGCTCCGTCGAGGACTATACGTTAAGAAGGCCGCGGACGTTGATTTAAATTGGCTTCTTGATGATCCTTCTTCATCAGGCTTCAACCTTTGAGACTTTGAATTGCCAGAGTTGTTGTTTCAATTGAGTGATGTCCAAAAACATTGCTTTTACTGCTTTTGGTTTATTGGCTTCTTGGCTTGCTTGTTTTCTTGGTTGCAGTAGTTTGAACAAATCACCTGTGCACTAAATTTGTATTTGTACAAGAGACTGCTCGTTTAGAGTGTGTGATATCTGAATCCTTTCTTTTAAGGTGCTTATTACGTTGTAATGTTGATGTTGGTATTCCAGATATTTGTGTTTAACATAAACTGGTAAATATTTGCATCTATTGGTAATGTACTGTTGTACATTATTCAAGCAGTACAGAAACATTGGACGATTAACTTTCCATGACTATGACTTAATGTTTTTGTTTAACCTCTGTCAGCTAACTGAGCATGAAGGGAGGAGAATCTCTGTTTTGGTCAACACGAGACACTTTTCTAACCATAGTAAACCCAAATAAACTTTCTATCAATTATAAAGGCAGTCAAAGGTGACCAAATGAGGGTTGGTTCTGAGTTGAGTGAGTGCAAAGTTTCTCTCCTGAGTGGGAGCATTTCTCTCTCCACGTGAGAGGCAGTTACGGCGGTTATCGCCAATTTCGCAATGGATTTCCTTGATCCGTCGCGCTTTGTGGCGGAGAGAGATGCTTTCTATGTGAGCTCCGCGGTCTACTGCTGTGGAGATTGTAAAGAGTGGTTTCTCTATTATTCATCGTAATAGAGAAGTAGTGTGAGGACAGAGGAGTTGCGAAGGTAAGGTGAATGATAGAGATGGAGGTTGGAGAGAAGTGTAAAGGAGAAGGATCAGGAAAGAAATCTAGTAAACTTGAAGTTGAGCTGACCTGGAGAAAGAAGGAGGAGCGCAAACTCTTTGGTGGTGCTCTTGTCGGAAAGATAATCTCAGAGAAGAACTTGAATCTGGCTACTACAATACAAATGATCCGTAAAGGCTAGAATATACCGAAGTGAGAAGATCTTGAAATAGCTGAAGTAGATCGGAAGGCATTTATCTTTGAATTTCGTCGAAAAGAAGATTATGAAAGAGTCCTAAGAGGTCGGCCTTGGTTGATTAACGGATTGCTATTAAACATACAGAGCTGGAATGATGAAAAGATATTTAGTGAGGTGAATTTTGACTTTTGCCCGTTTTGGATTCAGTTCCATGATCTCCCTCTTGCTGCGATGGAGGTAGATACTGCTGTGAAATTAGGAGGTCTCATTGGTGAGGTAATGATGGTGGAGGATCCCAGAGGCGATGGTTTATTAATCAGGAGTTTCTTAAGAGCCAGAGTCCTTGTGGATTTAAGGAAGCCATTGGTGACTGGAATGTGGTCTCCTAGAAAAGATAAAGATCCTATATGGATTAAGGCTCAGTATGAAAGGTTGCAGAATTTCTATTTCGCATGTGGCAGAATTGGACATGACATGAGATCTTGTGGTCACTTTGAAGATAAGGAGAATACTAAGTCAGCTGAGTATGGCTCCTAGCTAAGCACTCAATCTGTGCACCGCATTGTTGAAGCAATTAGGGTATGTAATTCAGACTGGGAAGAGGCTATTGGCTTCAAGGATCTCTCTAGTGATTCGAGAAGAGAGACTCCAAAACTGATTAATCAGCTGAAGTTGGTGAATGAGGAGAATGTAGTTACTGAGACTGTTGATAGTAGAAGTGCTAAAGAAAATTGCAAGGAGGAAGCTATCCAATGCATGGTAGAAAGGATAGCTAGCACTACGAAGTGTAACATCTTGAGTTTTATCAAGTTTTAATAGCCTCTTTTTGGTTGATTTTGAGGATAGATTAGTGATTTAACCTTGATCTTGGTGTTTGGCTTGGGATTGAGTTATGTTAAAGAAATAGGTGAACAATCCCTCTCAGGGTTTGTCTTCGCCGTGGCGAACTGGGAGTTCCAGGGGGGAGTTTCTTTTCGGAAAGGTTTCGCCACGGCGAAGTTAGGGGTATGCCGCGGCGAAGGTTTTCTGGGCGAGCGAGAGTTCCTCTCGGGAAGCTTTTCCGCGGCGAAGTCAGGTTTTTAAGCGAGTAATCCTCTCGGGATTAGTTCGCCGCGGCGAAGTTAGGGGTTCCCCGCGGCGAAGGAGTCGAATCTATATAGTCACGGGAGGGGTCAGATGTGCAAAAAATAAAAATCTGAAGGAAGAGAGAGAGGCTCTACTGGGGTTTTGAATTTTTGGCTTGGAGGGGGCATTTCTAAGGATCCATTACCTCAAGTAAGTGATTTTAACCTTTAATCTACTTTCTTTCTTGGAATTTCTGAGGATTTATGGTGAAACCCTAGAGTTCTCTAGGTTGTGATGGAATTGAGGTTTTTGACCGATTGTTTTGAGCTTAATTGATTTCTTTGGGTTAGTCTAAGTATTTAATCGGTGTAGTTTTCTTGGATTTAAAGAACTTTGAGTTTTGAAGTTAGGGTTTATGAAAATGGGAGGTTTGTGATTGAGGATGATAATGTGGAGGTTGATTTTGAGTTTTGTGATTTGGGTTATGTTAAGGAGGGTTAAATTGGATGTTTAATCAGTTTATAATGTTGTTAAGACTTCAATTGTTCAAATGAGATGTTTGGGTGTTGAATTCCTATAGTGGGTCCTTGAGGTTATGAGTTTTAATTGATGTTTGGAAAGGAATTAAGGTTTTAATGGATTTTTATGACCTTGGAGTGTTGCCTTGATGGTTATATCCTTTTTAGTTGGGTAGAATTTTGGTTGGAGTTAGGAATTTTGTGTCCCCAAGTGTTGTTTTGGCCATATTATTAGTTGAAAGCTAATACATGATGGTTGTGTGCTTGTGTAGACCAGTTGTGAGCCTTGTTGGTGCACAGGGCCGTGTTGTTGGTTTGTTATTTCTTGCTCAGGCGAGAGGTAACCACTTTCCAATCCTTTGTACATGCTTTTGTGGTATTGTGAGTGGATTTATGTTTTGTGCTCCGAATAACAACTGTGTTCAAAGTGTATGTTGTATATTGAAAAGGAAAACCGTCTTGTGGGGTTTAAATTGATATTGATTGAATCTGGAACTTGTGAAAGATAAGCCATTGAAAGAAGTTAATTGTGAAATGATCATTTACTCTTTGATTGCGGTTTGAGCATGATGCATAAATTGGGAATTGGTGAGAGTTTTGATTGTTACTGCCACGTGGTAAGGCCTCCATTAATACATGATGGTTGGCTCTTTACGTCCCCCATAGTGAGGGATAGGCCTTTTGGCTCCTTACGTCCCCCAAAGTGAGGGATAGGCCTTTTATGGCTTCTTACGTCCCCCATAGTGAGGGATAGGCCGGGTTTGACTCTTGAAAATCTCCCAAAGTGAGGGATATGGTTGGTGGGATTGTATCATTGCACTTGCATGACTTGTTGTGGCTATCATTTATCATATTACTTGTGAACTGCCTCATTTGACACCTCACGAGCACCTAATTAGTTGTACCTTGAATTAGAAAGGCTGGTTACTGGGACGTTGTCTCACCCCGTGGTTTACAATGTTTTCAGGTGAAGGTTCTAGGCATGTGCCATCGGGAAGAGACGCAGGGGCTTGAGCTTAGTTAGCTTTAGACCTCTAGCCCTATATATGTATGGCTAGTTGTATATTGCCACATTTAGGGCCCTTTTGAAATATTTTGATTGTTGGTCTTATTGTAAACTGGAGAAAATGTTATCTCCTTATTTTTGGTTAGCCGGAGGCCATTTCTAGTGTTTTGTGAAACTTTGATATACATTGTTGGAAACCAATCGTATGGGCTGATGTTGATATCTTTTGTTACCCGGGCCGGAGGCTCAGAGGCCCAGTGGATGTAAATGCATGATTTTAGTTGCATGCAACGGAGTTTGAGTTTGAATCGAGTTTAAATGTTAATTTCTAAAATTATGCAAATTTCTTTCTACTATGGTAGTTTGTTGTAACATCTTTCCTTTTCTACCATAGTAGTGATTTTATGACGAGTTTATAATGTTTTGAGGTTAAGGGTTTTACACGAAAGGGTTGCCATCAAAGGAACAAAACAATGAAAATGTAGCAGGTGAAGGCAACTCATGTGATGCGGAATTTAGGAGGAAGGTAGTGAGGAAAAAGCCTACTAGGGCAGTATTGAAAGAGAATTACTGTGTAGACGCAGAAAAAGACGATCTCTCGAAGGCGCTGGTGGTTAATGGAAGCATCTCCCCTATGTTAGAAGTAACACGTAGTATGGAAAAGATTGCTTTGAAGAGAAAATTTGATGAGAATGAAGAAGGGGAAAATGTGAAGAGAAGGAGACTCAACTCTGAAAATTTGACAGAACATCATAATTCTCTAGAGAATGCTGCCCCAAAGAAAGAGTTAAGAAGAAGTCTCAGGTTTTTCAAGAAGAAGTCGAGACAAGGAAAAAGAATAGCAGGGAAATCAGCTCTAAATAACGGAAGTTTATCCCTAGTGACTGAAAGGGAGACTAAACACTGTCCTACTAATTGCGTTGGTGACTGGCCACAATCAGTCACCTTGGAGCCATGACTTTTATCATGTGGAACTACCAGGGTTTTGGTGCTACCTTGGTAGTTAGGGACCTAAAAGAAGCCTGCCAGAAACATAGGCCTATTTTAGTGTTTCTAATGGAAACTAAAAAGCACTTGACTTACATGAAAAAAATCAAAAGAAGGTTGGGGTTCTAGAATGAGCTATATGTGGACCCAAGAGGTAGGAGCGGGGGATTGGCAGTTTGGTGGAAGGATGAATTGAATTTTGACCTGATCTCATGCTGCTCTAATATCATACATGCTAAGATCACTTGTTCAAGTGAGGAAGTACCTGAATTCCTTACTTTGATCTATGGCCCTCCTAAAGAAGCAGAGAGATGTAGAGTATGGCAAAGACTGACAAGAATGGCTTCTTCTATCAATGGTTCATTGATGTGTGCTGGGGATTTTAATGAAATCTTCAATCAAAACGAGAAAATAGGCAGAAACTCGAGAGCAGCAAGGAAAATCCTGAGGTTTCACAAGATGATAAGTGACTGTGAATTCATGGATTTGGAATTTAAAGGGTCAAGGTTCACCTGGGCTAATAGCAGGAGTGGGGAAGCTCATATTAAGGAAAGGATTGATAGGGTTTTTGGGAATGGTGATATGAGAGAAAAATTCCCAAAAGCCATAGTCTTCCACTGGGAACTTGTGGGCTCAAATCATCATTTATTAGTGGTGAGTTTACACTATCAACAAAGTAAGAGTCCCAGATTATTCAGGTTTGAGCCTTACTGGTGTGAGCATGAGGACTTTGAAGGTGTGGTTAAGAGAAGTTGGGGTAAAGTTGTGCAAGAAGTTAATGTCTCGACTAAAGAATTGGCTTTGAAGTTAGAGGAATGTAGCAAGGCTCTCAGAAAGTGGAGTAGAAGAGCATTTCCTAATAACAGGAAAAAAATTGAAAATTTGATGACTATGTTAGAAGCCTGCAATGAGCAAATTCTTACTGATGAGATTTTGCAGCGAAAAGAAGCAATTATTGAAGAAATGGAGGAAGCTTGGAGGCTGGAAGAGAAGTACTAGCACCAGAGATCCAGAGTGAAATGGCTAAAAGAAGGGGATGGAAATACAAAATTTTTTGCATCTCACTACAGTACAACACAGAGCAAGAAACAAGATATTGAGATTGAAGAATAACGAGGGTAGATGGATGGAGGAAGAGGCAAACATAGCCGAGGAATTTACCAATTATTCCAGAGATCTATTCTCGGATTCAAGTGCAAGAGACATGTCTGAGGCTCTTAGTTACGTGGACTACAAGGTTTCTGAGCATGATAATTCAATGCTGCTAAGAAGTGTCACTAGAAAAGAGGTGAAAGAATCTTGTTTCCAAATGGGGGCAAGAAAAGCACCTGGGCCTGATGGATACATTGGGCAATTTTACCACTGCTCATAAGGAATTGTTAGCGAAAAAATATACCAAGCTGTGAAGAATTGTCTTGAAAACGGTGAATTTGTTGAACCTATGAATGCTACTGACTTTGTGATGATTCCTAAAGTTGACAAACTTGAAGTGGTAACACAATATAGACCTATAAGCCTTTGTGATTTCTGCTACAAGGTGCTTTCAAAGGTTTTGACAAACAGAATGAAGTTCTTGATGCCTAAAATCATCTCAAAAAATCAGTGTGCCTTTGTGGAAGGTAGAATGATTCATGATAATATCATTTTAGCCCATGAAGTTTTCCACTATTTGAAAAGGCGTAAAACTTTTGCCAAATTTGAATTTGCTCTAAAAATGGATATGAGTAAAGCCTATGACAAGATTGAATGGGATTTCCTTGAGGCTGTGATGTTGAAGATGGGATTTGATGAAAAGTGGGTTGATTGTGTCATGAGATGTGTGAAGACGGTGAAATATTCAATAATGCTATCAGGAAAAAGAATTGCTGAAGTAACTCCTGGAAGAGGGGTGAGGCAAGGAGATCCCCTATCACCTTACCTTTTTATTTTGGTAGCAGATGTCCTATCTAGCATGATCAGGATAAATGTGGAAAGAGGCATGCTGGAAGGTATTAAAATGAATTCTTCTTGTCCAGTTCTGTCACATTGCTTGTTTGTGGATGATTCGTTATTTTTCATGAAGGCATCAAAAAGGAATTGCAGGACTTTGAAAAAAAATCTTTGCTGTTTATGGAAGAGCCTCAGGTCAGCTGGTTAACTTGGAAAAATCAGGCATCTATTTCTCTGCGAATACTGATGAAGCTAGTAGAAATAGGGTCTGTAACTGGTTAGAAATTAAAGAAACTAATGACCCTGGTAAGTACCTTGGCTTGCCTATCATCTGGGGAAGGTCTAAAGTAGAAGCTCTTGCTTTCATTCAAGAAAAACTAATTAAGAAGATTCAAGGATGGAAGCAAAAATTTCTCACTCAAGCTGGAAAGGAAGTGCTAATCAAAGTTGTGGCTAATGCAGTGCCAGTTTACCCTATGACATGTTTCAAAATGCCATTGAAAACTTGCAAAGAGTTTGACAGCCTCATTTCGAAATTCTGGTGGGGAAGATGTTCTGAGGAAGGAGGTATTCACTGGAAAGCTTGGGACATAATGACTAGACAAAAGAAGAAAGGAGGAATGGGGTTTCGAGACTTCTCCGATTTTAATTTGGCTATGCTGGCTAAAACAGCTTAGAGAGCAATTCAAAATCCTAAGGCCCTGTGGGTACGGGTACTTAAGGGTTGATACTTCCCTGACAAAGACTTCTTAAGTGCTAAAAAAGGAGGAAGAGCCTCATGGTGCTAGTCAAGTATTTTAGAAGGCAGAGACATGCTGAAACAGAACCTTATATGGAGAATTGGGAATGGAAATAGGGTGAAGGTTTGGGAGGATTGGTGGGTTGGTGACTGTGCTCTCAAGAATTCTATGACTCAATCCTCTGCCTATCCTGACATGCTTGTTAGTGACTTAATAGAGAATGGACAATGGAAGGAAGACAAGCTTGTTGAGGTGTTCGATGCTGATTCTGTTAGAGATATTCTACAAATCCCCATCTCCAATTGTGGGAGAGAAGATAGAAGAATCTGGAAGGGAAGTAGAAATGGGGAATATTCAGTGAAGGCTGGATATGCTTTTCTGAAAAATGGAAAAACGATTCTTAGGAAGTCAAGACCTGAATCATCCTATGTGATACCAGAAGGTTTGTGGACAGAAATCTGGAAACTGAAGGTCCCTCCTAAAATTCAACACTTCACTTGGAGAGCAGTGAATGGATGCTTGGCCAAGGGAGAAAACCTCTTTAGAAGAAAATGTTACAAGGACCCTATCTGCAAAATCTGTGGCAAGAATGATGAAACTATTGAGCATTGTTTATTGCTCTGTGATTGGGCAAAGAAAATATGGTTTGGATCTCCAATCGGAATTATGTTGAATGAGAGGAACATCTCTAGGTTTGATAGTTGGATCCGGATGATGCTTGGTGAAGGTAGAAAGAGCAATGAATTCCAAAAAGCCTTGCTAGTGTCTATTTGCTGGAGTATATGGAAGGGAAGATGCAATGTGGTATATCAGGATATGATGCTGGAACCTGAAAAGATCTTGAAAAATGCAATTACCTTGGTGAATGAGTTTTGGGTGGCTAGGGGGTGGATGAAGGAAAAAGCTCTATCTGCTTCCAACAGGGAAGGCTTAATATGGAAGGCTCCCGATCATGGATGTATCAAGGTAAACATTGATGGATCTTTCCTTAGCAAGTCTAGTAAGGCTGGTATTGGGGTAATTTTCAGAAATGAGAATGGTGACCTGTTGAAATTTACAGCAGAACAAGTGAGATCTTCTTCTGCTTTCATGTCAGAGGCTCTTGCTGCAAGAAAGGCTTTGGACCTAATCAAGCTGAGTGGCAAAGGTAACTATCTGATCGAGATGGATTGTGAGGCTTTAGTTAAGGCAGTGGATTTTAACTCAAGTTCTCTTTGTGAGTGGCAGTCACACATTGTAATAGAGGACATTTTGACATCTTTAAGATCTATGTCAGGTGTCTCTATCAGTCTAACTCCAAGATCTTACAATAAGGCTGCAGATTGGTTGGCAGTCTCAGGCTCAAAGGGGTGTGTCTTGAAGGTTGTTCTAATTGGCCTCCACCCTCTCTTGCCAGACTTCTTACTGAAGATAAGGCCTTGTGTGCTTCTGCTTGTGGCACTGGTTTCTTCCAGGAGAGGACAGGTATTGGCTGATACTTTGATGCTGTTTGAAGTTTTCTGTGTTTGTGTTTGCTGGTTTTTTGGTTCTGTGTTTTTTCTAGGTTGTACTGTAGGTGCTTCCAGTTTTCTTGTTTTCGTTTTTTTTTTTTTTTTCAGGTTGTATCCTAGGATTTATTGCTTTCTTTTGCTTTTCTTGGCTTTGGCTATTGGGGTTATGTACTTCTTTTTGCTTATCAATAAAATGGACTACTATTTTCTGGTGAAAAAAAGAGGGTTGCTTCTCACAAGTACAGATATTTTTCTGTTAGATTGAAATAGTATTGAGTATTAAATATAAGCACATGTCTTAATGTACATTGTGAGAAATTCGTCTTTTCATTAGACCCAATCTTAGTAAACTTATTTGAATCTTTTGGCTTTTGTGAAAAACTAGTTGGGGGGACTTATATGTGAATAGTTTTTCCTTCTTCTTTTTCCTTCGGACCTACTCCCTCTGTTGTTCTTTATTAAAAAACATAATTAACTAAATTATGTTGTTTAAAATATCAGTTAAAATTAATTGAAAGCAGTAAATATGTAAAATAAAATGTCACCTTTTTGCCAAAAATGTATTCATTTATGTGAGAGAGAAAATATATGGTGAAAAGATAATTTGTGGGAATCTATATATCTACCTTTAATATATAAAAATAAAGTACGAAGCAAGACTCACAAGAAACTACACGTGGCTTCACAAGGATACAGATAAATGAGTTTTATTTTTCTATTTTTTTAAAAATTGAAATTATAAGCAAACCTCCCCTATTTTTGTAACTACCCATGACTACTCTAATATATCCAACATATGTGCTTTATGTTATTTTTCTATTTTTGTAAAAGTCAAAATTTCATGCTATCTGATT